TCAACGAGAGTGTCATCCTCAACGAAGAAGGAAAAAAACAAAACAAAGATGGCCGCTCCCTTATTGGCAGGAAGGACAAGTCAGCTGATTATTTTCTCCGTCCGTTTTCCCTTCTCATCATGAATTCCGTTCCAATCCATTAATTAAAGTGTCACAAAACCATTAAAGTAAATCCTTCCGGATACACGAGGATACTGCCGGATTACAAAATGAATGCAAAACTTGAATACGGAAACCGCCGTCCGTTCGTCTAAGCGACGCTGGATACCCATTTTGCATGCGGATTCACGCCTTGTCCGAAAAGTGGGAATTTGGGCCAAATCCCTGATGCTTTTGGAATGAGATTTCGTAAAGGGGCTTTAATATGTCTTCCGTTCTTCCTTTTTTTGCTTTTTCTTCTTCTCCGTAAGCGATAACAGTAAATAATTACGTATGATTCTTACAGAAATTATTTGAAATTTCCGTTAGAGTAAACCTGCAAGAGAAACGAATAGAACTTCTTTCCGTTTTTTTTCGTTTTTTTTTTTTTTTTGTTTTTTTTTTTTCTATCCGAGTAGATCTCTTTTCCAGACGGAAGTAAACAGTATCTTTAGTGATCTAATTTGCATAAACCTGCTATCTGCCACGCCGTCATGTTTGATGCTACGGACAGTGGACACAGTACAGATATGAAAAGATAAAATATATATAAAACCTACAATAAAGCGTGGAAAAAGAACCAGAAGAAAAAACTAAATGAATATATAATAAGAAAAGAGAGAGAGGGAGAGAGAGAGAGAGAGAGAGAGAGAGAGAGAGAGAGAAGGAGAGAGAGGGTGGGAGGGGGAAGGAAAAAGAGAGAGAGAGAGAGAGAGAGAGAGAGAGAGAGAGAGGGTGGGAGGGGGAAGGAAAAAGGAGAGAGAGAGAGAGAGGGTGGGAGGGAGAAGGAAAAAGGAGAGAGAGAGAGAGAGCGAGAGAGAGAGAGAGGGTGGGAGGGGGAAGGAAAAAGGAGAGAGAGAGAGAGAGAGAGCGAGAGAGAGAGAGAGAGGGTGGGAGGGGGAAGGAAAAAGGAGAGAGAGAGAGAGAGGGGAATAAAAATAAGACATAAACATCTGCCACCGCCGACACTTGCAAACATCTGCTCACTGACACGCCGAATGACAGAAGGAAGGAGGGACAGATAGATAGGATGATAGACAGACAGAGAGAGAGGCGACATAAAGGGGGAGAGAGGGAGACAGACAGACAGGCAGGCAGACAGACAAACAAACAGACAAAGATGAACAGATAAAAGAGCGAGAGAGGGAAGATGAAGAAAGAGAAGAGGAAGATGCAAATGAAGCGGATGGGAGAAAGGCAGACACGAAGGGAAAATGAGAGGAAAAGAAAGAGGAATACAGAGAAAGAGAGGGAGAGAGGGAAGGAGGGGTGAGTAAGGGAGAGAGATAGGAAGAGAGAGGCAGGGGGTAGGGGAAGAGGGAAGGAGTTAGAAAGAGAGAAGAAGAGAGGCAGAGAGGAGGAGAGAGAACAGGTGTTTGGTTCATATGAGATGCCAGCCATTTTAACACGATCTGTATGTGTGTGTGTCATTTGCTAAATACCTGTTCGTCTCCCTTCCATCACTTTCCAATTCCCTTCTCTCCCTTCCTCTATTCCCTAATCTCACTCTTTCCCCAATCCCCCACCCTTCCTTTTCCCCCTTCTCCCCCTCTCTCTTCCCTTACATTCATTCCATTTCACTTCCCTATATTACCCAATTCATATTCACACGAGAATTTACCTCTGTAATAACTGTGACAGGGATGATAGATGGAAACAGAAAGAGAGAGAGAGAGAGAGAGAGAGAGAGAGAGAGAGAGAAAGAGATAGATAGATAGAGAGAGAGAAAGAGAGACAGACAGACAGACAGAGACAGAAACAAACACAGACAGAGAAAAACAGACAGAGACATAGGCAAAGATAGAACAAGTTCGAATAAAAAAAAAATAATAAGAGAGAAGAGAGAGAGAGAGAGAGAGATGGGATTAGAAAGAGGGGGGGGGAGGGGGCATGAGAGTGTTGAAGTAGGTTGTTGCAGAGGTTGTGGAGTTATGATCAGGAGCACAACAGCTCGTTAGTCCTCGGGTCGTTATGCAAGACCGAGTTAATGGGCGTGAGTCAAATGGTCGTAAATGAAAGAGAGACAGCGAGAGAGAGGAAGAGGAAAGAGAGTGGGGGAGAGGAAGAGAGAGAGAGAGAAGTGGAGAGAGAGGGAATGAGAGAGGGGGGGGTGAGAGAGAGGGAGAGGAAGAGAGAGAGGAAGCGGAAAGAGAGTGGGAGAGAGGAAGAGAGAGAGGAAGCGGAAAGAGAGTGGGAGAGAGGAAGAGAGAGAGAGAGAAATGGGGAGAGAGAAGACGAGGAAAGAGAGTGGGAGAGAGGAAGAGGAAGAGAGAGAGAAATGGGGAGAGAGGGAATGAGAGAGGAAGAGGAAAGAGAGTGGGAGAGAGGAAGAGAGAGAGAGAGAAATGGGGAGAGAGGAAATGAGAGAGGGGGGGGGGAGAGAGAGAGAGAGAAATGGGGAGAGAGGGAATGAGAGGGGCGGGGGTGAGAGAGCGGGAGAAGATGAGAAAGAGAGAGAAAGGGTGGGAGAGAGTGGGGGGGGG